GAAGTCAACAATCTGTTAATTGCAAACACATGCTTCAATCAACTGAATAGATGACAGTATATGTGGACATCACAAATCAAGTATGCAAATCAAATAGATGATGTAATTGGAAGGAGATGGAGAAGCTTTATTCTTTCTGCCAAAACAAGACCAGGAGGAGATTGTGGTACTGATTATGAACTGTCAATATCCATTATTAGAGTAAAACTGAAAAACTACAATAAAAGAATCATAACAAAAAAAGGAAAGAGCTGGTGTAGTCCTGGAGATTACACAAATACAGAGTAGGTGATACCTTTCATTGGCCCACTAAAAAATAAAAGTAGCAAGCTTTCATCGATAAAATGGACTTGAGATCTAAGCAAACCATATCATAGTGTCAAAATATAATTGAAAGAACATTCCTGATTAATTTAAAGTCTACGTAATGAACAAATTTCCATTACTAACCTCAACTGACTATGAACCAGAAGAACTATACATTGAAACCAGAGACAGTTTTGGAGAAAGACGCAAAAATTTAACACCTGTAGTAAAATGAAAACAGAAACCTAGATGAATTATGGCAGAAACAATTAAAATTTTGAAAGACAGGTGAGAAACAAAAGTAAAAGGTGACAAATATTATTGTATTTTAATTGAATTTTAATTGTTGTAAACTGCCCAGAGACCTTTGGGTAGAGTGGGTGGAATATAAATAAATAAATAAATAAATAAATAAATAAATAGGATCAGAACCCTGAATTGAGTTTTTCACCAGCTGTCACATAGAGACAAAGAGACTACAACAATCAATGCCAAAACGTAGAAGAGAAAAACAAAAGGGGAAAAAACAAGCCATCTCTTCCAGAAGATCCAAGAAATTAAAGGGAAAGTTAAGGCTAGATTAGGAATGCTGTATGACCAACAGGGAAGTATACTATTTGATTATTTTCTCCTAATCAAGAGAAGGTAGAAACAGTATACTGAAGACCTATACAAAAAAGATAAAAGAATGGCAAACTCCTTTGAAGAGGAATATTATGATCAAGAACCTGCAGTTCTAGAAAGTAAAGCGAAAGCTGTTCTGAAAGCAATAGGAAAAAATAATTCACAATGGGTAGATGGAATACCAACAGAACTATTTCAGAACACACAGATTAAATCTCTCAAAATCTTAATGAGTGTATGTCAACAAATATGGAAAACAAAACAATGTCCCATAGACTGGAAATGCTGAATATAGAAATAGTGAGATACAATAATGAAGAGGTGAAATCATTCAAAGAGCAACTAAAGGAGGACTATATTCAACAGGAGCCAGGGAATAATGAACAAGGAAATGTGAGGGTGGTGAATGATATATGCCAACCAAAAGAAGGGCTGGAGGAAATCAGAGGGGAAAATTTAGGAGATTTAATTCTAACCCTAGAGCCGAGGAGAATGTTAACTGTGTTAAGGAAAGATAAGGGGAGAAAATCAGCAGAATTAATTAAAAATAGCCTGGGAGATATATTGGAGATAGATCAAGTGTATGTTTCCAGATGACACAAGGGACCGCAGAATGTTTAGAGAGACAGAAACAAGAATTGGGAAAAGACAAATAGGAGGAGGAGTTACTTAAAAAGATGAAAAAGGAAAAATATTAAGTTGGCCCTCAAAGTTGAGAGCATGTATATACTTAATTTTGGAATTGTAAAGGGGCATATCTTATATATTTAAAAGGGAAATTAAACTGAAATAAGGGATCATTAATCAGGGTAAAAGCATAACAAAGTGGTTTTTAAGGTAAATTGAAGCTAGATATAAGGATGGGGCAAAGCAAATAGTACTTAATGAATATACATTAGATATGGTATTGGTATAGATATGATAGAAAATGTGGAGACAGAAATGGCTAAACAATTATATAAAGAAAATCTGTATAAAATGCTTTAGATAACCTCTATTATGTGTTAGGAACCTACTTAATTATGATTGGTATAAAATACAAAGTTTGTCGATTAAATCACCTCAAAATTATATAGATTTGGAACCGGAATTACATTTATTAGGTATGTTTTTAGAGGATTTTGAGAACACTGTATACTCTGAGAGCAATATTATGATAGTAGCCAATATTATATGCTAAAATACACACATCAACAGTTTAAACGTTTAAAAAGGTATAGATTTTGAAGAGACAACTAAGAAGAAACCAAAACGCAAAAAAAAAAAAAATTATAAGCAACCCATATAACATAATGTTTAACAAGCACGGATTAAATGTAGATAGATTGAAAAACTAATAAAATGTTTTTTTTAAAAAAAGAAAGAACAAGTGGGTCCTGGAGCAACCCAAGCCTGAACTCAGGAAACAAAAAAATTGAAGCTGTGATTCTTTGGAACAGATAAGAGTGGTCGTTCGACTAGATAGGCGGGGTATAAATGCAATAAATAAATAAATAAATAAATACATAAATACATAAATAAAGAAAGAAAGAAAGAAAGAAAGAAAGCTAGGAACCACTGGGAGCAGCAAAAGAAAAAGATCATATAGGGAAAGGATTGACTCCCTAAGGGAACCACAGGGTTGGGTTTACAAGAGCCAAGCAGGGCTGTTGAGGACAGGGCATTTTGGAGATTGATGGCACACAGCAACAGTGCTTTTGTTTGCATATGTTGTACATTTTGAAGCTTTGTGCCTCCGTATGTCTCCAACTGATGAAAGTTTACTACCTCTCTCCATGGAAATGCAAGGTGCAACAGATAACTCATGTAGCAAGGGCCTCTTCAGCAGTGCCACGCTGATGATGGAGCTGTCAGAAAGGTTCAAGCAGTACCTGTTTCTGGGGTTGATCTCGGGGATCCCATAATCTCCCTGTTAGAGCAGCTCTTCTGGCTGCCAATCTGTTTCTGGGCACAATTCAAAGGGCTGGTTTTAACTTATAAAGCCTTAAATGGCTTGGCCCTAAACTAACTCAAAGACTGTATCTCCCATTGGATCATGTGCAGAGGAATTTCTCCCAGTTCCACCACCCTCGCAGGTGAGTTTGGTGGGAGACGGTCTTCTTTGTCGCTGCTCCCAGATTCTCGAACTCCACACACACACCCACAGGGGAAGCTAGACTGGCCCCATCTTTGCTGTCCTTCCACAAACAGATGAAGGCCTTTCTCTTCAGGCAAGCTTTACCTGCATGACTGGCTGCCTGAGATGGTTTTTTTTTTTAATGGACTGCTCTGCCCCGTTGCTTTTGAATGGGTTTCTGGTGCTGCTTTTGTTGACCGTCTTTCAGTGTGGTACTTGCTGGATCTTTTTAATAATTTGTATACTTATTGCTTTAATCTTAAAGATTGACTTTTAATTATGTAAGCTGCCTCTGGTCCTTTTCAAAGAGAAAGAAGGTAAAATAAATATTTCAAAAGGGAACCTTTTAAAAAAATAAACCCAACCACCCTCCTAAACTTTTGAAAAGCTTTTGTTTCCTTTTTACAGTATCTTTCTGCAGGTGTTAAGGAGCCTTTAAGGGCGACTGCTTTGAACTTCGTCTTGTTGTTGTCGTTGTTGTTTCAATTTTTTCCACTGACTTGTCTTTCCTCCCCGTGCCAGGCTCCCTTTGGAACTGGTCTGAACGAGAGAAGAACCAAATCAGAAGTCAGGACAATAGCCTAATCAATCAATCAATCAATCAATAGCAATTACCAATCTAACTGACGGAACGATCGGGACCATTCCCCCTTCTCCCCGGTGCATCTGTCCCTCCGACCCGAAGGAGAAAAAGGGAAAGCCGGCGGATCTCGAGGGCGCGCTCCCGCCCTCTGACCTGTCAGCCCCAACAGGCCACGCCCCCTCGGCCATCTGGCCACACCCCC